CCGGGAAATCACAGCGGCTCCACTAGCGTCCACCAGTCCTGCGGCGGAATCGGCGGCGGTGGTGGCGGTTCTGGTCGACAGTGGTGACGCCGCAGTCGGGACTAGCCGCCGCCGTCACGGCCTTGGCCGGTCTCGCGTTGTTCGCCGCGATTTTATTCACTACAACTAGGTAAAAGGAGAAAAGGAAGATTAAAAAAGAAAATCAAGACACGATCAAGAAATCACAGTGAAAGGAAAACCGCAGCATTTATTTGGTGTAATTTAACTTAAAGGAGAGAACAAACGAGTAAAAATATTAGGTAGATGAGAGCTCTAAGACGAAGTCACACTTCGACATCATCTTCAAATCTGTCGTCGTCACCGTCATCCTCTTCTTCTTCATCGTCGTCATCGTGGATCCATTTGCGTTCAGTTCTGTTTGTTGTTACTTCTTCCTCACCAGCTTCTTGTTCTTCCTCTGATCGGTGAGTCCTTTGTCTCTTCTCCTAAACACTCCTCTTATTTAGTTGCTTAGTAATGTTTGTTGTTTCCTATTCAGATCCCGATCTTTAGGCTTGCTCCACATTGAGGAATTCTTTATTATCATTGTTTTTACTTCATTCATTACTGATTAGTTAGCTTCATTTTCAGTTCTGATTCATCTGCCTCGCTTACATTGCATTTCTTTTTCTCGGTTCCTCGATTTTTTGTTATTTTGTAGTAGTCAATTACTCGTGTCTTCCAATCATAGGACACCTTCACACTGGAGAGTTGACTTTGCACAAGTATTTCTTTCTTAGATTTTTCTAATTTACCGAACTTGAAGGAATTTTTCTCTTAGTCTTACTCGTCGGAAATGCTGCTTTTATTTCTTTTTTCTTTTTTGTTATCTCTATGGTAGATAGTTTATGGGATCTTGTTATTATTGAGAATTTCGTTAACCTGTTGATACTTGATATCCATGTTATTTGGTTCTCTTTTTTTGGTTAAGAAAGAAAATTATCTTACGCTGGTACTGTAAGTCTCACTTGTTTTATCAGGTGTCAATCCTAACTTGTAATTAAGTGGCATGTTAAACTCAGTGGCTCATTTTATACATAATGTAGTTTTGTTTTTCTTCTGGATTCCTACATGTGTATAACATGTTGGAATTTGCAATTTTGGGTACTCATTGTTGGATTTCTCTGACGTGCTTGTTTGTTGGTTTGTATTCATATCAGCTCTGGCTTTTATGTTAAAGGATTTTGACTGTGCCTTTCACTTTCAGGGGTCGGCTCAAATCACCATGGTCTCGACGTAAAACAAAACACGCCCTTACACCTCAGCAATGGAGGAGATTATTTACACCAGAGGGCAAGCTCCGTGATGGTGGAATCAAATTCTTGAAGAAAGTTCGCAGTAGGGTGAGTTTTTTTTGCATTATTTTCCATAGTTTTCTGTAGTTGGGATGCTTATATTCTATATTTCTGATGCAGGGTGTTGATCCCAGTATCAGGGCAGAGGTTTGGCCATTTCTCCTAGGAGTGTAAGTATTAGTATTGAGTTTCCATCCAAATGCATAATCAGCCACGAATATTCAATTATTCTTTGCTGCTTCTGCTGCTTCTCTCATTGCATTTGTCTTCAAAAGGTTTCTTTTGGTTAAGTGATTTTTGGATTTCATTATAGCCTATGTATCTTATGATATCCAACTCATTGACCTGCTCTGGACAAGCTGTGATGTAGGACAAAGAGAGCTTGAAGATAAAACTTAGAAAAATGTTATTAAGAACAAAAACTTGGAGAGCTCGATAATCAAAGTAATATCTTAATATTTGAATAATTATCATGAATAGTCTACCTAATAACTAGACTAGGTACTTTAATTATAGGCACCAAATAAATTGAAAATAAGAAATTTAGGAAACCTAATAAATAGTAAAATAAGTTGAATGGATAAAGCTAGAGAAATAGGAAACCTAGTAAATAGAAAAATAAGTTGAATTTTGACTAATTTTAATCTTCTCCACATGCCCATACTTATTGAAAAGTTCGGGTAAATCATTTTGTAGATAATACTTTGTAATTGAACCATAACTGATAGAATATGTAACTACAAGAACACGATTAAGTCTATTCATGTTTTAAATCCATCCAGAATTCCTCTTAACTTTGAGCAAATTTAGTCTACTAAATCAATTTTGTAAAAAGTGAATGTAGGATAGGAATTCAATCAAACTAACCTCAAAAACTGAAAAAACACACCTAAAAACCTTAAAAGTAGGTTTGAAGATATCTGAGAACCGAGCTAGAGGTGGGTGAAGTGGACAATCCAAAATGGAGTGGGTCAAACCAGTTTAAAACAATCAATTGAGGCTTCAGAATACTGAAATCCACACGACTGGTCGACACATGGCTGTCACACACTGTCATCTGACAAGCCTCTAGCAACGATATTCTGGTGGATAATTTGTAAGGCGATAGTGTTTGATCTGGTCTTGATGTTTCTCCTAGTGGTTGGGGCGGTGGAGTTCTCGAGTTTGCAGCAGCAGTCCAGTGAGTTTATGGTGAGTGAGGCAGACTCAGCCATTGTAGAGGCTGAAATTTGGCGGAGGAGGTGGTTGGCAGCTTCTGAAGTCAATGGGTAAGGCGGTGTTGATCACCTCCCTCGCAGTGGCCAAAAATTGCATTGGCGAACCGTTG